AAAAAAAACCGAAGAGAGGTAAAACTGTTTTTGAGAACACCGAATCTAACTAAGAAGTTTTCCGCGTAAACGTTAAGTAGACGTCCTTCGGTTTTTTTGGGATTTTTTGGATAATTATCGTATCAGAGGCTAATAGTCGAAAATTCCTACCGTAATCCTACAGTAACCAAGAATAACAGGTGATCCGCTTTATACTGTAAATCTAAGTTGCAGCCTGCCCTACCTCATGGCACCCTGCGATCCTCAAAGCTTTCCATATAAGAAAGTTGTTAAATCAAACGCTCGACACCTTTTTCTTGGGGGCATCCTGTATTCTAGGGAAAATATTCTGATATATGTTGTCATGAGCAAGCGAGAAACCTATTTGGACTCTCTTTTAGCACCAGTTGCGTTTGAGGCAATAACCAGCATAGAACCACCATCAGCAACAATTGTTTGTCCGATGATGTATCGGGATGCGCTACGATCCGCCAAAAATGCTATGACACTCGCTATGTCCTCGGGTTTCCCAACTCCTTCGATTGGCAAACAATCCGGTGATTCCTCGTATTTTTTGTAGAACTAAAATTTCCATTTGGAAGTGTGGTGATCGAAAGAGAAAGCTGACCTCAGCTGCGTCTTCTTCGGATTTTCCAGAATTTTGGATGACATTCGTGACTACAACACCGGGATTCACACTATTCACTCGAACACCTTCAGCAATAAGCTCAACAGCAAGTCCACGAGTCATTTGGTCCATAGCAGCTTTAGCCATGGCATAATATAGACAAGTCGGTGTCTAAAGTAGAGAAATTGTGAAGAAGTTGAGAAGGGACATATGTATCAACAAGCTCAGTAATCTTTGTTTCACGCCACGCCCACTTTCGGACAGTTCTCGACATCACTGTCAAATAAAAAACTGACTAACCGCTTTTGGCAATGCAGCAATGCTGGAGACGTTGACTATTTCTCCTTTAGCTTTTACAAGATGTTGTCGAGCTAATTGCACCAGTTCTACAGCACTGTAAAACTTTCAAAGTTATAGATTTGTTAGAATTATTTCGATTCGAGAAACAACACCTATACACATTCAGATCCATTGTTTTCTTCAGCACTTCTGCATCTGCGCTTATACCATTTGAGCCGTTTTCATCCCGCCGCAAACCACCAGCATTGTTCACCTTAATTCTACAGCGT